TAATAACCAATCAGAGAAGGCTTTATATACAGTCATGATTGGACTTCAATGCTTACACACAAATGGCATGTTCGCTGTATACAAAGTTTTCGCTGATTGGTTGACTAATCTGGTTATTTTAGATCACACAAACAAGATCTTCTATAGAGGTTGTTCAGATCTTTGAACGCTCACAGTCAGGAAATTAAAACAAACAGATTTAAGAATATCAAATAAATTTAAAAAAAATATGACAACTATGAAAAATTTTTTTTTTTTTTTTTTTTAACAATGAATAAGATCTAATTTTAATCAGATTTATTCAATCCATACCTATGATAGTGTATTCAGTGTCATTATTTGCTGGAACTACTACATTCATTGCATCGTTCATTGGATTATCATGATTTTCCTGTTTCACAGAAATGTGGTAACTTGTGATAACGCCATTACTGTTTCTTGGTGACGGTGGCTGAAATGACACAAATGATCGTCAATGACTACAATTGAACTCTATTATGTGCCCTAACTGTCATCCCAGGGAGTTTAATCTTCTGTAATATTAATATACTTTGCATCTATCAGTCTTTTATTTTTGGCTTTTTGCACAATTAACTGTAATTTGAACGCAAATGCATATTTTTCACAATATTTCATGCTTACTGTCCATGATATGATGACATCACGTTTGTTGTTATCCCGGGGGATTTCTTGAGAAAGATATAACTTTACACCCTCCGTTGGCGCTGAAAAAAAGAAAAGAAACTAAGAAATAAAAATTCAAGTAATTGTATGTGATACTTCTATAGAGTCTAAAGTCTAGATGTTTATTCATAACTCATGTACAGTGTATTTCTTAATACAGCTTTTGCTGCAAGTCACCCATGTGTACGACTCAAACAAGAACAATTAACTTAAAGGGCTTGAAAATTAGTATAGAGTATCCAATTTAAAAAAAAAAAAAACTTAAAATATTGAGAATATTTCCAAAGGCATCTGATTGGGCATGTCACTTCCATGCCTTTTTTGATTTTCATGCCTATAGCCCCCCAAGATAACTGTATACCTAAAGATACACCTTATAGAGAGGATGTTGATACAATAGATGAGTATTTAACAGTGTGAGATGTCATGTGCAAACAAACAAAGAAATATTTAAAATCTTTCTTGCTCAGTTAGTGTTTATGTTAGATATTAGGTTGAGAGTATAGTGTATACACTATACTCTTTTTACATAAAATCTTTGAACGCCAAAGTAACTTTTCACAAAATAAGTAAAATCATTTTTTTCCCATGTTAACACCACCAAGTAAAAGTATCATTCTCATATTTGCCATTGCATATTCTTTAAAACACAGTAGGGTTAAACAGTATTTACTACATGTATATACAGCAACAGTTAAATACAAAGCAGTATTTTCTGAGAAAGTAATAATTCCATATTCTTAAAAGAAGCCAGTATAAACACTACAGTGTTGGACTGTGAAATCTGTATTAGAAGCAGCGGCTTCTATTAAAATGATACAATGCAACAGAGGGGATGCGGCTTCTATTAGAGCATCTACACATATGAGGAATGGTAAATGTTTGGTTCTAAATTGTTCAAAAGAAATGGGTGCGACTTATATTAGAGATGTTGCTTCTAATACAGATTTTACGGTAGTACCGATAGTAGTAATAAGTTTCCTTAATGCAGTGTAAAATTTATCGGTGATCTTATTGTAATAAAGTGACAATGTTTTTATCCTTGATAGTACGTACAGTACTAGTATTATGTTTCACCACCAGATTTTCTTGCCCAAATTCTTCTGCACTTTTTTTTTATATTCTTCAATATTTCTGGAAATAAACACCTAATTTTGGAGCCAACAGACAACATTTGAGGTAATTTTCAGTTTTCCCTAAAAAAATTAGGCTATTTTTTCTGAAGAAACCTGCAGACTACAAATGAGACTATTTTGTGAAGAAAAGAGGGAACTGGTGGAGAAAAGGTAAAACATCTAATATAAAAGTGATATCGAATAATATTATTTTTTATGACAACATTGTTGGTAGACATATTCATTATAAAGCCTGTCTTCTCTTCATATACTTATAAATACATGTACATATAAATATTCATATACTTATAAATATTCATATACATATAAATATTCATATACTTATAAATATTCATATACATGTACTTATAATTATTTTCAGTGATATATCGTGTTATTAAAGTCTCAGGTGTAGAGTACCGTTACTAATAAGACATAATACTTAATTTCAGTTATTACACAGTTCCATTCATATCTACTGCAGAATTTCAGAGAAAATGTTGGACTCGTACAGACAGACAGACAGACAGATGTCATCTTTTAGCCCTCTTTTTAGGCTATGCGTGAACGAGTACGAAATGTACATTATGTTGCAATAAAATTACGACGAGAGACAATTTGGCTTTCAAAGAGTTGATTAAGATGCATACAATTTATCGTGCACAAATATTAACACTCGGTGCATAATACGGTAATATACATTGGTTTACATAATACCTGCTTCCTTGGTTCTTGCTGAGGACATCTCAGACCAAGCACTCCAATGTCCATCAGTTCCAGTAGGTTTACAGGACACTCTTATGTGGTGTAAAGTATAGGGCCTTAATCCATGAATTTGAAATTGGGTTTGTCTATCTAACTTTAGGGACTAACAAGAAATTGAAACAAAAAAGAAAACAAAACAAAATTATAAAAGTGAATAGCAGTCCTGTACCTGACTCCAATGTACGTCCAATGGTAATTGTCGACCACTCACTCCAGTGACCATCGACTGCTGTCGGCTTTGCGGATACGCGTACAAAGTAGCGAGTGTAAGGCTCCAGACCTGTGATAGTGTAAGACTTCTGTGCACTTGCAGAGAGCTCCTAACAGGCAGAAGTTGGCAGCACACCAGACAAATAGAAGAATGAAAAGAGCAGAAAAAGAAAGTGTATCTCTTTGTTAGTGGCCCGAGAAGAATGCTACCAATTATGTTTATTAGTAAACAATGCATACAATTGGACTGTTTTTTAAATTTATATATTAAATTTTATAGATATTTAAAAATTATTACATAATATAACAGAATATCATTATCTTTTGCCGCCATATTAGAATAGGGCATTCAATCTTAGCAAACCTACTTTAATTCGGTTGCTATGCATGCTATTAATGATTCTGACATGCACTTGCTAAACTAATAAAGAAGAAGTTTAATTTAATTTAGGTTTGGTTATTCAAGGTTAATTTTCTAAAACTAAAACAAAAATTACACTATAACTGGATTACTTAATATCTATAATCATTACTCAGATCAACATGGTTCTTATGATTTGAATACATGTCACAAAATTGAGTTAACTACACCATTATCTTTTGACTAGTTGGACCATTTGATTCCTGTCAACACCCTTTTCACCCCCAGACTTTCTGGAAATGAACAATTTTTGTAGACAACAGGAAAAATTTGTGTACATTTTTTTTTTCTCAAAAAAAATTGGCTATTTTTGTCCCAATCTCCAGAAGGAAAGTGCGAACTATAAATGGGACTATTTTGTGATGAAAAGAGGAACTGGTGGTGAAAAGGTTAAAATGATGTTTGATAGTGTAATACCGGTACTTTTTTTTCCCTCTAGCAATTCAACCATATGGCCAAAAAATTACCACATTCAAATGTTTTCATCTTCCAAACTATAAACTGCACTTTCGACTTTTTCTACATTTTTCAAAACTTGTTTTCTATTTGAATTTTTAAGGTTACGATCATGTTTATAATGACTGATACTAATAATTAAACATCACAAACATACTGTGGACTACTTTAAATTCGCTGGAATTAATTTTCACTGAAAAGGCTTTTTGGGCGTTTTGTATGGAATTCAGTTTAATGTGAAATGTAGGGAAAAAAGTATATTCGCTGGATTTTATTTTCATGGAATCATCCCTTCAGTGAAATGAAATTCCAAGCAAAAATAAAGTATTCTACAGTAATTTGATTGTTTTTTCAACAATTCAAAAACTATTTGTTGATAGTCCAATTATTGGTTGGATTAGAATAGCTCAATATGGTAAATGGTTCAGAGTATATAAATTGAAATTATTAAATATTGCACCAGAGATAAAAAAATTCAAAATAGCATTATGCAAATTAAGACATTCATTTATCAAAAATAAAAAAAATTGTGTGAAATGGAATCTGAGAAAACGTACCGGTAAGAGGTATGGTTTTAAATATAGATATTGAAATTGAAAGTAAAAATGGAGGACAATATTTTTCCAACATATTCCAACCAAAATTGCCCATATTTGTATATTTTACTACATGTTTTGATAGCTTTTGTCCAGATGGTCATAATTTCCAAGGAAAATTTGGGTTTTATTTTGTGAAAGGCAACAAAAAATACTTCTGTGTTGTTTAGTAAATGGCAACCATTTTATTACTGTGTTCAGAATATTCTTGCATGGCTGACAGAAATACCATATAACAGTATCCCTGTAGTAGCCAAAGCAACACAATAACAGACTGAAGAAACTGACTTGATGACGATATCATTTCATTAGGAGTGATATAAAAGCACCAAGTTATATTTAATTATATATGAATACCCAAGAAATAGAAATATTAATATGACTTCCATCATGCATTGTCCATATATGGATGTCAAAAACTTATTTATAACCATGGTGATAAATTAAGAAGATAAAATAAATAAATCATGATGATTTGCTGTGGTTCGACATTATTTTAATAACTCTGTACAGCAGGGCTTGCAACGTAAAAGTTATTTACAAGTCCTTGTAAAAACAAAATAACAAGGCCTTGGTAACGGTATCTTCTCTACATGCGCAGAATTTTAGCAGTGGGGTTAATTTCAGAGTTATCATCTTATGATAATATTAAAAAACGCTGCAAATCTCAAAATATCTAGAATATGGAGACACATTAATGTATTAAAATAAACTATGCTGATTTAGCAGATAATAAGTTAATTTTTTTGTAAATCAACCTTAAATGCAAGTTATCGCAGAAATAGATACATGTAGCCATCGGCTTGTTTTCGTCGTGTTTTATACTCTTTCATAATTACGTCCTGTTCCTCTGATTTATATAACCATGGTAAATGGAACTAGAGACAATGAGAGAGAATAGAGCACTATTTGAGGGCGAATACAAGTCTTGTGGTTCTCTCGCTTGGCATTTTTTATATGGATCAAGACGAGTACATATAGGTTTTGAAACCAGCATTGCCGGTACATATCACATCAATGTGATTATTTAAAGGGGCACTTCCAGTTAAACCTAATCTCATAGCAAATTTATATTCTAGATTAAAAGTACAATGAATAACAAAAGATAACATAAACAATAGTGTCCCATGGTTCGCCTTTAAGTAATGGTAGTTGAATTTTCTTCAAATCACCACATGTTTTTTTTGAAGTCAAATCGAGGAAAGTTCTAAAATGTTTCTTTCTTTATGAATTCCTAAAATACCCATTAAAATTATCATTATTCACCACCATAGTTGTTCCAGTCAAAATTTCTATGAAACACGTACATGTTGTATATTTTATTTTCATTTATTTATTTATTTATTTATTTATTTATTTATTTATTTATTTATTTATTTATTTATTTATTTATTTATTTATATATTTATTTATTTATTTATTTATTTATTTATTTATTTATAAATAAATAACTTCTTGGTTTGGGACAAAATACAGTCATGTATATATAAGTTCCTGCAGAAATTGATAAACAATTTTGTCAAAAAAGACAAAGTTATTTTTGGCTAAAAAGGTTATTAATAATGTCTACCAAGGCCAATACTGCTATCATAGTTACAGACATGTGGTTCCACCATATTGGATTTTGCAAAGGATTGTGGGATGGAAGCATTACAAAAATGCCAACAATCAGGAATAGAAATTCAAACTGTAACAATGCGTTCTGGACATGTTCAGAGAAAATAAATTAGCTTTTGAACAAGCTTTTTACCATTAAAGATACCTTGAGTAGCTGCATAAATACCCAAAGACGTTAATAAACTGCAAGCTCTCTTATACAGAATGAAATATTTGATATAATTGATATAATTGATGATGATTTAAATAGCTACTTCTACATGCATATAAATTTATTCAATGGATAGAATTCCTCCACATTTGGCCGTACCTTGTAATCCTTTAAATAGCATTGGGGGGTAATAAAGAGGGGGAGATGAAGTAGAAAGCATGGATAACTGTTAGTGAACACAACGAGAAGACTGATGCAGCAAATATCTCTTTTGGTAAATAGTGAAAAGAGGCCGTGAATTGAAGAACTAAGAATCAAGTAGAATCACATTAGGGGGGCCGCGTTTCACCTCAAAGAGTTGGGAGAGATTAAAAGTACACAGTAAACATAGATACAAAGCACAGTAGAAGCAGCACGCAGTCAATAGGCAGTCGCACTGTGACGTCATATGTTATACGTTGGCCAACGAGTATGAATATGTCTGATAGCAAATGTCGGTCATCGATCAATACCTCGCGATCTGCTGTAACAGCGTTGTCCACAAGTCATTTTTTATTAACAGGAACACGTAGATGTATATTTAATATCAATGAACATCACCGTTCTTTTATCTTTAATTTTTTTTGGCAAATCAGTCACTACGCACGCATATGCGGGAAAACGTAAACAAGTGCGACAGCCTATACTAACATGTCAATAGACACAAAGTAAAACTTGTCATTCAACCATATAGTATTTATTTTACATAATTATATAATTTCCCCATAAATTATTATTTAAATTATAATTCTTCATTTCAACTTATCTAAAGGTAGACATGCATTAATATCCATCAAGAAAACATGCACTGGAATTGCTGTATTAACATAAATACAGAATAGTCTGTAAATTGATATAATGCTTATATGCTTTCAGTTTTTTAAACAAATGTTTGTGAATTTTGCGAGTTACAGGAAACTGTTTTTGCTGTATTTTCAGATTTAAAGCATCCACTGAATTTGTTGACGCCATCAGTGAAAATATATATCTGCATACATCAAAATCTCATAAGTATTATTTAAATTTTTAAGATATCATTAATTCCTAATGTCAAACTTAGATTCCTAAATTTTATCCATACCCAAAGGCTTTATAAGTATGTCAGTATATACATCATGAATTCAAATATGGTTGAATGTACAAGTACACATTAAACGTCTGTCTCTATAGTCCCACACTGAGATAAGTCAAATATATGGTGATTATAATAAAGGAACACCTCTAAAACAGTGAATAATAATTACTGTATTTGCTCTATTAGTAGTGCATATGATTAAATAATTGATGGAAGTGTGTCTTTGATCATATTTGAACGATCCAGTATGCAGTCTATGCATTATCATGTGTGAATTTATCAGGAATGCGTTTCTAACGGAGCAAATACCAGTATATTAAATCTTCTCTTTGGTTGTAATTTGCAACCGAGACATCTGATACAACGTGATTCTAATGACATGATATATAGTTATCTAGCGTGCATCACATCATTTTTTGTTACACTGCTATGTTGGTGTGGTAACATTACATTATTCACCACTAGAGGGCGTCCTTTGTTGAATTATTAAGTCAGGGTGTACAAGTCGAGCAGGACCACATGTCAGTAGGAAACAAGAGAATGTATATACACAAAATCTATTTTCACGTCACACGTATGTGTCACTGTAAGACTGGAAATGTTCTGAAAGTTGTACATGCATTGCTATAAATAGTGGAATCACCGTGACATGCAGTAATAATAACAACGGAAGAGAGGAACGAGCAAGACAGAATAAAACACACACTTGAAAATATGTGATGAATAGGAGAAAAAAAATGTCAGTTGCATACAAAAACACTTATAAAAAATAGTTTATGAATATCAGCCATATTGGAAAGAGGGTCTTATTTTAAACCTTTCAAAACCCCAAATTTACAGCAGACCAAATATACGGTAGCTTATTTATTCTGTTCACAGTGAAAACTTTAAATATTTTGTAAAATTAAAACATAAAAGAATTCACAAACATTTGACTGCTTCCTTTGTAACACTCTCTATGATTCTTGTCTGTTATTCTAGCACAGTACACAGTTGGAAGGTATCTTGCCTGTGTAACACAGTGGACAGATAGGGGGTATTCTTGCCTGTGTAACACAGTGGACAGATAAGGGGTATTCTTGCCTGTGTAGCACAGTGGACAGTTAGAGGGTATTCTTGCCTGTGTAGCACAGTGAACAGTTAGAGGGTATTCTTGCCTGTGAGGCACAGTGGACAGTTAGAGGGTATTCTTGCCTGTGTAGCACAGTGAACAGTTAGGGGGTATTCTTGCCTGTGTAGCACAGTGGACAGATAGAGGGTATTCTAGCCTGTGTAACACAGTGGGCAGTTAGGGGGTATTCTTGCCTGTGTAGCACAGTGGACAGATAGAGGGTATTCTTGCCTGTGTAGCACAGTGGGCAGTTAGG